TGACTTGCTTTTACAACCTAACATCTATATCAGCGGAAATGAATACCTAAAGACAAAAAAATTCAGATCTTTCCATCTTATTTTCAAGAGATCAATACCAAATATTTAAAATAATTAAACTTGCTATTGATTTTTTTGTTAAATCTAGTTATTATTCTTTGTGTCACGGGTTAATAATGTACTTCTATTACTGGAGCTATTTTTGAAGTTGTAAAATTTTTCCCAGGCAATTCTCGTAGTAAGAAACCCCAAGAACCCTATAATCTTGCATATATGATTTACCAGTCTTGTGTTGGTGGGTCTATTTGGGTGTTGAAAATGCATCTTGGAACATTGGGTTTGAAGATGGGAGGATTAGCATGTCTGTGTTTTCCCGGACGCCGGAAAGTTAACCCCAAAGATAATGCCATTTCCGATGAACAACGTGACTGTAAGCCACCAGATGCCGCCACCACTCCTACAGGTCTCCCCCACAATATATATATATATATATATATATCTCTCTATATGTGTATGTATTTCTTCTACGTCTTAATTTTTCTCTTTATCAGGTTTTTGAATTGGATGATTAATATATTGGAGGTCAATACCCAAGCATAGGTATAAAATTGAACCGATTGTTGATTTATTCATGTTTGTTATAAGAATTGGACTTTGAATTATCGAAGTTCCTGTTATATATGCTCGATTGAATTATGTAAAGGGTCTGATTAGTATTTAGGGTTAGAACTTAGAAGTGATCTGGAAGCATGCAGTATGTTTTAACTTTAGTTTTTAAGAATAGTCTGACATGAGAAATACTAAGATGTGTTGCTAGAAGGATATTTTTTAGAGTATGAATTCGTGACTGTATATATGGTGTTGAGATGCAGTTCAAAAGGTGGATAACGATCTGCTTAATCAATCAACAGAAAAGTCAGAAACAAAACAGGTGGATGCTCCTTTGAATACTATTGGTATTGGAAAGAAACAAAGGGAATTCAGTTACCAAGAACTTGTAAAGGCTACAAATAATTTCAGGCGTGATCGCTATCTCGGGGAAGGTGGATTTGGACAAGTATATAAAGGAAACCTAGAAAACCCTAACCAAGTAAACAACATTGATTTGTTCAGTTTTTTAAAGCGTGTTTTAACTTTTAATTTAGTAATTAAAATGGTCAGGTTGTGGCTGTTAAAAAACTCAATAAAGATGGTTTGCAAGGGAATAAAGAATTTCAAGTTGAAATCACAATGCTTTCACTTGTGTGTCACCCAAATATCGTTACCTTGATCGGATATTGCTCCGAAAGCAACCAACATCTTTTAGTTTATGAGTTCATGCCCTTAGGATCCTTGGAAAAACACCTACATGGTAAAAATATCTTATGTCATTTTCAATGTTATGGCCTCAAAACGAGGACAAGACAGAGAAATAGTAAGTAAACTTGATACGAACATAATTGTTTTCATTTTATTGGGCAGATCCGAAACCAAATATGAAGCCACTTGATTGGAACACAAGGATGAAAATAGCAGTAGGAACAGCTAGAGGCCTTGATTACCTACATAATCATTGTGAACCTCGTATAATCTACAGGGACATGAAATCAGCCAACATATTGTTAGGTGAAGGGTACGACCCAAAGATTTCTGATCTGGGTTTGGCTAAATTCGGGCCATTGGGTGATAAATCATACGTATCAACACGGGTGATGGGCACAATGGGTTACTGTGCACCTGAGTACGGGTTCACAGGCCACCTGACCATAAAATCCGATACATACAGTTTTGGGGTGGTTTTGTTGGAACTAATAACAGGAAGACAAGCATTAGACGACACAAAAGAAGGAGGTCAATATCTTATCGAATGGGTACTTTCTTTCTCTGTTAAGTCAAATCAGTTCTTTCTGTATGAACATGAAGTCAAAATATAGTAATATATGGCTTACTATATTAAGTCTGTTATAGGCGAACCCGATGTTGATTGACAAAAGGAAGTATGTGAAGTTAGCGGATCCGAGGATGAAAGGGGAATTTATACAAAGATCGGTGAGGAAAGCTGTGGAGGTGGCGTTGATGTGTATGAATAATGATCAAGAAAAAAGGCCGGATATGAGTGAAGTTGTGGATGCGTTGGATTTTGTGGCGTCTCTTTCCGATCCGGTTATGGTTGGAGATCGGAATTGGAATCAGAATGGGAAGAGTGGATTGGTTGTAGATTTGGATTCAAGTGATGATGAAAATGATGGGTTGAAAGAGGAGGATGAGGATGAAAGAGCTAAAGCAATAGAAGAAGCTAAAATGTGGGGAAAGAGGTATAAGCATGAAGCAGCAAACACAACGCCCTTATAATGCTCTGCAATTAAAATTATCAGACAACATGGAGTGAGTAAAACCAACGTGTAAATAGAAATATTTAGGATTTTGTCTTTGGATGTAGATACATAGGTGGGTATATTGATGGTATAGATAAGTTTAGACTAGAGGTTTGTTTTCTTTTTCTTTTTTGGAAGATATATTCATAGCATGAAAAGAAAGGGTTAAATGCTCATTTATGTAAAGTTTTGCATTTATTCAATTGGGCAAATGACTTATTTATGCAATAAGGGTTTTATATTTTTTTCCCTATTTTATGCAACATTCTTAGCTTTTATACAAAATATGTAATGCTAACCTTTTCAATTGAAACAAAATCATACAATGAATTAAATCTAAAACCGTTAAACGTGCTAAAAGGCGTTAATTTTTATAGCTATAACGGCATATAAGCTTGACTTGTCAAGCCAATGTGTAAAAATACCTCTACCTCAACTGCACTCCCTTTTCCTTGATGCAATTAATAAAATCTCGAAGTCCTTTCAGTTCTTCATGCTAATTACAACAATTCTCCCGTTGTGGACATAGGTGGAATAGGTGTCGTTAGATTATATTTGTCAGTTCAAAAAAAAAAAAAAAAAAAAAATACAACAATTCTCCCTCTTTGAATCGTCATCTTTTGTGCCATCTTCTCATGTACTCGACTCCTTGTCTCCAGCTTTATTGAGGAGTGTTGTTTGCCCTTGTGGAAATATTGCAATGATAGGGAAGTGATGTGTGATGAAAAATAAAACCGAAAAGAAAAAAAGAAAAATAAAAGGTGTACTGGTGAGTTTACAATGTAAACAAGTAATATCTACCCTAATAAAATCACTCAATACCTTCCAATCGATCATCAAAGTTTGAAAGAGGTCGATAATGTTACATTTTGAATTATACAAGAAATGCAAAGATTACAAAATAAGATTTTTGACTCTAAATCATGCATCCCTAGTCAATCCCAAAAGCAACAAACAAATAGAAGTTGTTCCATTTGAATGTAAAACTTACATTCTATGTTCCGTTATTAATTAAAGAATTGTGAGCAAAAAGGAGAATACAACACATAGAAATCGACAAAAAGAAGAATTTGACGAATTAAAAGACCAAAAGATAAGGAAAAAATCTAGATAATATGTGCCACTAAGGTCATAATGTTGTTCCTTTTTTTAATTGTACAATGTTTTCATATCTACATATCACATCTGTTGCAGAAGAACATGTGGATCAAACTTCTGTAGTTTAAAAAAAAATAACTGTTTGTTTCTAAAGTATGCATAATGCTTTTTAAGTATATATATATATATATATATATATATATATATATATATATATATATATATATATATATATAAACTTAAAAAAACATTTTAAATAATTCTAGTTTCATAACATTGAATTTTAATCTTTACAACCACATAATAGTTTATTTAAAAGCATTCATTCCATATTGAGTTGATCACATTGAGTATATAACTCATAGTTAGTTAATTTTGTACCCAAATTATATATATATATATATATATATATATATATATATATATATATATATATATATATATATATATACTAATTTTATACCGAACTTTTAGCAACATCAAATTACAACATATCTCCCTATACTAATAAAAAAGTAGTTCTTTTACCATGCGTTACCATGTTAGACATTGTAATTAATATCAAGACACTTGTCAATCTATTGACATTTGTAATTAATATCATGACACTTGTCAATCTATTAATTCTCCATTTCAAATTTCAAAATTTAAATCATATTTTAATTACATTAAATTAATAATATTAGAATAAAAATAAAATAAAATCTATACAAACTATAATAAAATAAAATTTATACAAATTATAAGATGATATATTTTACGTATTTATTTGAATTAACAATTATAATTTTATATATAACTAAAAAATATCTTTTAACTAATAAGTTATTTAAAATTATTAATTAATAGTTTTGAGTTTTTACTTGGAAAGTTTAATTAATTTTTTAACTGTGGTTCCCAGAGGTTATAAACTAATAATAAATAATTACTACAATGTGGTGTTAAGGATGATGTTATCTATCGTATAAATGTGGGATGATTAGTGTGGAAAGAAACCATACAATTTTTATGCAACAAGTAAAATTAGCAAAAATCCACTTAACAAGTAAAATTTTACGTAACAATACATAAAATGCTTCATGCAACCTGACAAACTTCTTTTTGGTGACAAGGTACCAAAAAAAATCCTATTTAATTTGTTCATGTTAGCTGAAAAAAATAAAAAACGTTTTCTATGTTATCAAGTTGCATGGAAAACATAACGAAAGCAAACAATTTTGTAATTTTGATTTTATTGAAATATATGATATTTATAAAAAAGTCAGAATTGAAAAGAAACTTTTATTATTATAAGCTTTTATAGAGCCTTCGACCTTTATCGGTTGAAAATCGTTGAAAGGCATAAAAGAAAAAAAAAATAAAGAAATATTCATTTTCTTTTGTTTATTCAAACCTAGAGAATACAATATCACATTTTGATATTACGAATTAAAATTAGATAATTAGTTGAATAAATTATATCCAAACGCCTTTTGATGAGGACGACAAACGTCCACGGTTAAAAAATTATTTCCATTTTCCAATATGGACGCTAGAATTCCGTCAATGGACAAACGGAATATGCGGTTCGATTATAGAGGCATAATGTTATATAAAGAGGCAGGTTGTTTGGAAATTGGAATATCCTAAGCACAAAACCATAAACACATCCATCAAATTCAAAAGGAAAAAGGGAAGTTTCGGAAGCGGAGAGGAATATTCCGAGGGAAGATCCGATCTCGAGTAATTCCTCTCATCCATTGCTGATTCTTTCAGCATTGATTAAATACGCTTCCCAAACCCCTTTCTTCCTCGTAGTATCCTAACCTCCTTCTCCCTTCTCTCTTCAACACTTTAATTTCATCTTCTTACAATGGCAACCAAGGCCGTTTATATCTCCGACGTACCAAATCTCGATCAAGTTCCGGAAACTGCAGCCTCATTCTCTCTATACGCCACGCGCCTCCCTATCTGTAAGATATTCTTCTTGGATCTTTTTCTTCAGACGGTTGTTGTAGCCTCGTAGGTGAAGTTTTGATGTGGATTTGTTGTTTTTTCGTGGAATAGCTGTCGATGTGAGCAAAAGTGTCGATAATTCGCCTAAATTTACGGTGATCGGCCACAGAGGTCACGGCATGAATATATTGCACTCGACCGATCGGAGAATGAAGGCCTTTAAGGAGAACTCTATTCTTTCCTTCAACAACGCTGCCAACCACCCTATCGATTACATTGAGTTTGACGTTCAGGTATTATTCTAACGCCGCTCCGGCCACCCCTTGTTTTCCATAGTTTATGAAATTTGTCTTTGATCGCGTCGATGCAAATGATATGCACGTAAGAATATGATTTCGAAGAATTTATTTTCCTGCTACGTCTTATCGCTGGTCGTGTATATGCAGCTTGGAACGTATGATTTTAGATAACTCGAAGGGCCTGTTAATATCTCTATTTTGTACTGATCTGAAAATTGTTTTTGATTTCGGTTTCGATTTTCCGTGTTCCCTTTTTTGAAAATAAAAAAAGAAAGTCTCATACTAATAGAGTAATAGCTCTTGGCGCTTTCTTTGTTTATCTGCAACGTTATCATGGGGTTGTTTGCATAAAAGTTTGAAATAGATTATTTAATTAATGTATCTTATCTATAATTTTAATTAGATTTCTATGTTTGTATATACAAATTGTATTTTTGATAATGATTATAATATATCAAATGATAAAATAAATTCGTACATCTATCTTTTTTTTTTTTTTTTTAAATTTAATTTAAAATCCTTTTATTCATATCTTAAATCTTATTTAACATCATAACTAGTTTCAAATTATGCATCTGCATCTTAACGCCCACTAATAGAATCATAACTATTGATTTTTGACATGTCTATATATACAATAAATATATTTGCTATGGAACAAGAAATTGCGACGTTTTATTGTTTGATGAATATACTTTTATCTGTTAAAAAAAGAAACGTTTGAGTTGATACAAAATTTTGAAGCTAATTCACTGTTTGTTAAATATTGAAATTTTATACCAAATAAAGTAGGATAAAAATAAAATAAGTAATTAATTTTATATAATTGATTTTTAGGTGGTAATGTAACAATGTTAAATCTTTTGTAGGTAACAAAAGATGACGTAGCCATCATTTTCCACGACGACTTCATCCTCTCTCAAGAACATGTAAGTCGTGATTTACTAGTATATCCATGTATCAAAATCGACACAGTAGAGATCTAACCTTCATGATTTACTATAAATGTACTAATTATTGATCCAATATTAATTATTGTAGGGTTCAGTGGTTGAAAAGAGAGTGACCGATTTAACAATGAAGGAATTCTTTGCATACGGCCCCCAACGGGAAGTCAGCATGGAAGGAAAAGCCTTGGCTAGGAAAGTAAATGGCACCGTTGTAGGGTGGCAGGTTGAATCTGATGATCATTCGTGTACTTTACAAGAAGCATTCGAAAAAGTAAACACTAGACTTGGATTTAACATAGAGTTGAAGTTTGATGATCATCGTGTCTATGAACAAGATCATCTCATCCATGCTCTTCAAGTCGTATTAAAGGTATATATATATATATATTATTATATAATCATTCTTTAACCAGTGATTATCAGTAGAAAGGGTTGTTAATTAAAAATCATGTTATTTTCAGGTTGTTTCCGAGCATGCTAACGATAGGCCCATAATATTTTCAAGCTTCCAACCGGATGCTGCTTTACTTATGAAGAAACTTCAACAAACATACCCCGTGAGTATATTATATATCTTCAAGATTTTCTTCTTATTACGCTAGTGGGCCCATATTTGTGTTTTCCGGCTCAGGCCCACCTTAACTAACATATATTGAAAAAACAGGTTTACTTTTTGACAAACGGAGGAACCGAGGTTTATGAAGATGTGCGAAGGAATTCATTAGATGAAGCAAGGAAGTTGGCAGTTGAGGGTGGATTGGATGGAATAGTTTCAGAAGTTAAGGGTATTTTCGGAAATCCGTCGGCAGCACGAGAGATCAAAGAGGCAAATCTCGGCCTTCTCACATATGGCAAATTGAAGTGAGTCTGATTTAAATTTCGTATTTTAGAATGATAATAATTTTAGAAGAGGGTAATAAAACTAATGGTGTGCATTTTTTGTATGGGCAAAACAGTAATATCCCAGAAACAGTACACGTTCAACAGCTAATGGGTGTGGATGGAGTAATTGTGGATCTGGTTGAAGAAATAGCGAGGGCAGTTGAGGAAACGAAGAAGACAAAAGGTTATGGAAATGGTGAAGTTAAAAGTGAAGAAACAGAGAAGGGTTTAATCGAGTTGTCGTTTCTGTTAAACTTGATTTCAAAGGTGATACAACATTAAGATGGAATTGGAAATAGTTTCTAATGTTTTGGACGATTTAATATATATAGACCCCTCCTCCCTATTAAAAAAAAATATAGTCTGATTATCTTGTACATAGGGTTGAGAATGGAGGTCATGAATTGGGGGTCATCGTTCATTGTCAGAAACATGGTTTTCACTAATATATGAATCGAATAGATTCTTCTTTTAATTATTTGGTTATTTGGTTGAAAGTACATTTCGATTTTTTGTGGAGGAATATAAAGTGAATGTCATATAGAACTAATTAGGACCAAACCAATACAAAAGTTTGTGGTTAAAGTTTGAAACACAAAAAGTCTAGGGATGAGATCTGCCAATATAGAAATGTATTTATTGTAGCTAAAATATAAAATAGAAAAGTTATTATGACCAAAATATAAAACTAAAGTTCGTAATTGGATAGAAAAAAATGGGTTTAAAAATACTTATATTGTGGTTTTATAAGTGATTTTAGTCGTTATATATAAATTTTTATTTAATTAACTCTTAAAAACCGACAACCTTTTTAGCCGATCAACAGGTCATCCCATTCAAAAGTTATTACAATAATAAAAATTTCGCATATTTCAAAATTTTGTTAAAATTCTAGATTTTTACATCTTTTTTTATCAAAATTTTGCATTATAAAAACATATTTATAAAAAAAACGTATTTTCACATAAAAACCTTCTTTTTTTTTAAAAATAAAACATTTTTTAGAATTATTTTTGTATGCGAAATACCTATTTATAAAAAGGTAGTTATGTGAAAATGCATTAAATAGTGTTCAAATATTTCCAACGAACCAACACAGCGTGTCTAGATAAGAAGAAACACGACTTTCATTAAGCTCAACACGGCGTGTTGTGTTGGATTAGGTGTCTAAGTCCATAACTATTTTGATATGTACTTGATCCGATTACGAGCGTTGTCCTTTTGAGTTGCCTTCACCATAGCAACTAATAGGATGAATTAAGGAAAAAGATGATTAATTATGATTTATTAATATATTATAATAATAATAATAATATATTAAAGGAGACATCATATTGTTTAATTAATATTAGTTAAAAACTAATTAAGATTTAGTTTTGTGACTATAAGAGATTAATTAAATAAAGGGGACTGATATTATAATTATAAGATAGTTGCATAAATGGGCTAACATAGAGGTTGGAGTGGATGAAATCTATGGGGAAACCCATAAGAATTCATCCAAGGCCTCTAAGAAGGGAGTCTATGGGTTGCCTAGAGCTTAAGCAATCAAATTAGGGTTTCCTTGTTTGATAACCCTAATAGCCTCACTATATAAGAAACCCTAAGTCCCCAAAAACGTGGCTAAGTGATCCCTAAGGGTTCTTGGACGTTTTTGTGCCTTTCCTACTTTTCTTTGTTCATCTTGTTGCTTATGGTGTTTGTGATTCCATTAGAGGTGCAACATTTGAGGCACTAAATTTTCAAGAGTCAAGACCAAGAGGAATTGAGATTGTCATTGCTACATAACAATCACGGTAAGATCTAAACCCTTATTCACATGGTAATTCGATTACTGTATGCTAGATCTAGGGTTTATGAGCTTTGGATGATTATTGCATGTTCTAGAAAAAGTAGATCCAAAGCTTTAGGGTTTGCATGCACACCATAAGTTGATGTTTTGCTCAAAACTCATCAGTGGTATCAGAGCCTAGGTTGTTTGTTTGATGTATTTGATGCTTAAATGTTCATTGCTTGCTTGAAAATCAAAATTTTTTGTTTCTGACTGGTAGACTCGTCGAGTTCTATTGTGGACTCGACGAGTCCATGGGTATGTTGCCGGATTTTTCGATTTTCCTGCCAGATTTTGTTGAGGATTGCTTCCAAAACTCGTTTTTTTTGCCAAAATTCGATTTTTTAAGTTTAGAATGGTTATTGACATCAAAATTGATGGATTTGGTTAAATATGGATAATATAGGATTATTATAAGTCAAATATTTGACCTAATAAGTTTGAAAAAGTTTCAATTTACACATTTAGGTTTTATAATATTTTGGAAAAGTTTCAAAATTTGTCCTCAAGTGTTGGAATTTAAAGTTTTTATTAAAAGTTTAATTTTGAAATATTAAATTCTAAAATCCTAGTTTTTTGAAAAGTTCAAATTACACCCTTATGGTTTTATTAAATTAATTAAGTGTATAATTAAATGAGAGTTAACAAATCCATTATGATTTGGTTTGTGTTTAATTAAATTAAAAGTGTAATTTTATTAAATTAGACCACATAGTATTTTAAAAGTGTAAAATACAACCTTATACTATATATAAAACTAAAAGTCTAATATTATATATGTATAAGTAAAGAGTCAGTCTTACCGTTAGTAGACCTCATTCACGAAGCTGGTCTCTAAAGGGTATTTAAGGAAATTGCCTATAAAATAACGATTGAATGGGTATCCACTCTTACCTACCGCACTCTTGACTAGTGGCGGGTCGTTAGCCGAACGGTTAGGATAGGACGCAACCTTTCATTATAAGTATAATGAAATACGAAGTAACTAAACACTTTTATAAATTCCCAAATCTTAGTTACTTTAGGAAAAATATGGAATTGGTGCTAATCTACGAAATTGCACACTGCACCTTTATTGGTCTTTAGTAGAGCACGTGTGGTTAATCGGCACACTAATATGGAACCAATGAAGGATGACAATGGGTAGCTTGAAGATTATCATAAATCAATGGAGCGTGTGTGGTTAATCGGCACATTGATTAGGTGATATGCATATTCGAGAGTACCAAGCTAATTTGCATGGTTATCCACACCTTGTTTGTGATCCTCGACATCCCAATCACAAATGAACGGCACACTCGAGATTTAAACATGCAATTGAAAAGTTCAATGAATCTAAAAAGATCTAGGAGTTTCAATTAATTTAAAACTTAAATTTCCTTTTCATTTTTCATGGTGGAAATTGGTAAATCGTCATTTACCTACCTTCAAATGTTCTGCAATTTGGATTACGGAATCCCTCTTCCAAATTGTAGAATATTGTGTTGGGTCCTAGCCTTAATATCTCATTTAGGTGTTTTATTAAGGACTCAATCAACTAACTTGAATTTTCTCATGTTTGATAGATGTCAAAGTCTAACAACTATGGACTTCCTGAATCCGTTGAAAAAGGTTTTCCCCTTGAAGATGATGTTCGATGATTGGATTGTGGAAATGGAAATCATTCTTCAGTTCCTCCACCTCCTCCAATAAATCTCCCTGACCCACGTGTTCGAAGACTTGAAAAGTTCAAGGTCACTCAAGCCCTATTGGCGAAAAGACACGAAGATGGAAAGTCGGTATGCGCTCATGTCTTTGATATGAAGTTGCATATTGATAGATTGGGAATGTTAAGTGTCGATGTCTCAAGGATGTTGGTTGTTGACTGGGATCTTCAGTCACTCTCTGACTTATATAGTGAGTTCGTTAGAGAGTAATATATGATGGACCAGGACATGACCCTTATTGATTTGACTTATTTGCTTATTGCTGCAGAATCAACAATGATTTGGTGCAATGATCAAGCAAATTTGTCTGGTAAATCAATATCCCAACCTTCTATGGGCAATACCAACATTGGAAGTCCAGAAAAGTTTTTTCTTCGCAAGAGAAAGGATGAGTTTGAGATAGTCCCGTGTACCATTCCAGAAGAATCCATATGTTTTTACTGCCAAAATAGGGGGCATTGGTTACGAAGCTGCCCTGACTACCTGAGAGATCTAAGATATGGGAGAGTCAAGATGTATGACTCTAATTCAGGTAAAATCTACTATCTAACTCTATTAAGTTTTCTATTTTAGATTTTTAATACATGATGTGATAAGATTATATTTTGATGTATTGTAGGATCGAAAAAAAGGAAGCTTAAAGGAAGAAGTGAGACAAGTCTGATCGCAAAGAAATTGATTTCGATCACATGATTCGATGATCGGATTTTTGGATAAGAAGAATTGAGATGAAACTTTTCAATGAATCATTGAAAAGTTTCAATGAATGTCAGAACGGATAAGAAGAATCAATTAGGAAGAAAGATAAAAGTATCTCTAATCTGAAAAGATGGGAGAGTAATTTAGTATCATGTTTTATGATCGTCTTATTGATTATGAAACCGTATCACAATTGATCCTCGAAGGAAACCTTAGTGCACTAGTATAGCTAAGAATATGAATTGAAAATTATTGAAATGGTTAAATCAAAAAGGACGAGTCATGTTTCGTTCCAAAATCAAGTCTTAGAGTCATACTCCAAGATTGTGACTTGAGTGACACATCTTAAGAAGTTTTTAACACACTCATCAAATATGGAGTAGAAAAATATTTTTCTTACTCTTGCACGTTTGAAATTGGTAAGTTGTGATGTTTTGGACAAGACAAAGACCAACTAAGACCAATTGTGTGTAGTGTTGTCTTGATAAGAATCCGCACTAACTCTTGAATATTTGTTTGTCAAGAAATGTTTCTTGACAAGAGAATCTTATATGTCAAGAGGTCAGTGGGAGTCTAAATGATCTTGAAAAGATTCAAGAGCTAATCAAGAGTAACCTATTAGACACTAGCACATGACTTGAGGTTTGTAACCTATCGTGTTGACATATTCTTGTTTCTGTGCCATTCTAGTTTGGTTAACTATGCATGTGAGTTATATGAGTTCTCAATTGATTGTATAGAGGCAAGATACCCTGATTAATGGAAAGTACATTGATAGGTAGGGGTGAGCTGCTATATAACTTGGAAGCAATGGTGGGACCCTTGATGGCAAGAAATTAAAAATGAACAAATTCAGTCCATATGAGTTTGGATTTGTCACAAACATTATCTTATGATTATGGTTATGACAAATTCACATGGATAGGAACACCTACACCATAAAATCTAACTGTCATAAGGTTTCTCTCCTTCATGAAAATGATTGTGAGGAAACGCTTTCATTAGGAAGATCTTAAGAAGATAGTGATTGTGTAAATTACGTTCTCAAATTCGATTATGATTATGACATCCCTCTTCATAGTTCGAATTGTAAGATTTGGCAATTAGTTTAAACATTTAAGACTTATTGCTATAAGTGCTTAAATTGTTTAG